GTTTTATCAGAGACTAGGATTGTAACTCCTAGTTGCAACTCCATTTGTTTGGTAAATGTTCTTCCATCCCTTTATTTTGAGCTGATGTGTGTTTTTGTACATGAGATGGGTTTCCCAGATACAGCATAGTGATGGGTTTTGACTTTTTGTCCAGTTTGCCAGTCTGTGTCTTTTGATTGGGGCATTTAGTCCATTTACATTTAAGGTTAATATTGTTATGTGTGAATTTGATCCTGCCATTTTGATGTTAGCTGGTGGTTTTGCCCGTTAGTTGACGCACTTTCTTCATTGTGTCGATGCTCTTTACCATTTGGTACGTTTTTTTAGGTTGTTCCTTTCTCTTTTTTTTTTTTGAGATGAAGTTTTGCTCTTTTTACCCAGTTGCTGGAGTGCAATGGCATGATCTTGGCTCACCGCAACCTCCATCTCCTGGGTTCAAGCAATTCTCCTGCCTCAGCCTCCCGAGTAGCTGGGATTACAGGCATGTGCCACCATGCCCAGCTAATTTTTGTATTTTTAGTAGAGACGGGGTTTCATCATGTTGACAAGGATGGTCTCGATCTCTTGACCTTGCGATCCACCCATCTCGGCTTTTCAAAGTGCTGGGATTATAGGCGCGAGCCACCGTGCCCGGCCTTAGGTTGTTCCTTTCTATGTTTAGTGCTTCTTTCAGGAGCTCTTGTAAGGTAGGCCTGGTGGTGACAAAATCTCTCAACAATTGCTTGTTTGTAAAGGATTTTATTTCTCCTTTGCTTATGAAGTGAAGTTTGTCTGGATATGAAATTCTAGGTTGAAAGTTCTTTTCTTTAAGGATGTTGAATATTGGCCCCCACTCTCTTCTGGCTTGTAGGGTTTCTGCTGAGATCCACTGTGAGTCTGATGGGCTTCCCTTTGTGAGTAACCCGACCTTTCTCTCTGGCTGCCGTTAGCATTTTTTCTTTCATTTAAACCCCGGTGAATCTGACGATTATATGCACTGGGGTTGCTCTTCTTGAGGAATATCTTTGTGGTGGTCTCTGTATTTCCTGGACTTGAATGTTGGCTTGCCTTGCTAAGTTCGGGACTTTCTCCTGGATAATATCCTGAAGAGTGTTTTCCAGCTTGGCTTCATTCTGTCTGTCACATTCAGGTACACCTATGAAACATAGATTAGGTCTTTTCACATAATCCCTTATTTTTTGGAGGCTTTGTTCATTTCCTCTCACTCTTTTTTTCTCTAATCTTACCTTCTCATTTTATTTCACTGCATTGATCTTGAATCTCTGATATCCTTTCTTCTGCTTGGTCAATAATTGAAACTTGTGTATGCTTCACGACATTCTCATGTTGTTTTTCAGCTCCATGAAGTCATTTATATTCTTCTCTAAGCTGTTTATTCTCATTAACATTTCGTCAAACCTTTTTTCAAGGTTCTTAGTTTTTTTGCATTGGGTTAGAACATGTTCTTTTAGCTTAGATAAGTTTGTTATTACCCACCTTCTGAAGCTTGTTTCTGTCAATTCATCACACTTACTCTCTATCCAGCTTTGTTCCCTTGCTGGTGAGGAGTTGGCTTTGTGTGTTTTTATCCATTTTGCGCTGGTTTCTTCCCATCTTTGTGGATTTATCTGCCTGTGGTCTTTGTAGTTGGTGATTTTCGGATGGGGTCTCTGGACATTCTTTTTGTTGATGATAAAGTTATTTCTGTTTTTTGGTTTTCCTTCTAACAGTCAGGTATCTCTGCTGTAGGACTGCTGGAGGTCCACTCCAGACCCTGCTTGCCTGGGAATCACCTGTGGTGGCTGCAGAACAGTAAGGGTTGCTGCCAGTTTCTTCTTCTGTTATCTTTATTTCAGAAGGATACCCACCAGATGTCAGCTTGAGCTCTCCTTTATGAGGTGTCTCTTTGGATATATGAGAGTCAGGGAGCTGCTTGAGGAAACTGTCTGTCCCTTATAGAAGCTCAAGTGCTGAGCTGTGAGCTCCATTGTTTCATTCAGAACTGCTGGGCAGGTACGTTTAAGTCTGTTGCACTGGAACTCAACCACCTTTTTTCCCAGGTTCTCTGTCCTGGGAAGGTGGGGCTTTATTTGTAAGTTCTTGACGTGCTGCCTTTTTTCAGAGATGCCCTGCCCAGCAAGGAGGTAGTCTAGTCACAGTCTACCAGCAGAGGTGTTGCTGAGCTGCCATGGGCTCTGCCCAGCTGCTGTGTGAACTTCCTTGCGGTTTTGTTTACAGCGGTATAGTTAGAACTGCCTCAGTAACGGTGGTCTGTCTCAGTAATGGTGGACTGCCTCAGTAATGGTGGACGCCCTTCCCTGCACAGAGCTGAACTGTCCTGGGTCCAGCTGCACTAGCTGTGAAACTCTCAGTCCAGAGTGTTTCAGATTGCTGGTCTTTGTCGGGGTGGGACTCGCTGAGCCAGATCACCTGGCTCCCTGTTTCAGTCCCCTTTTTATCAGTTGAATGGGTGACTCTGTCTCCCAGGTGTTCCCTGCACCAGTTGAAACGGCCTCCCAGATTTGTGTGAGTTTTTATGTGGAGACCCGCTGCACCAGCTGCAGCAGCCGTGCTGGAAACTCGTGGTGCTTTTCAGCCCGGGAATCTCCTGGTCTGTGGGCCGTAATGACTTGTTTGGAAATGCGGTGATCACTCACCCTCTGCATTGTTTTCGCTGGGAACTGCACTCCAGAGCTGTTCCTGTTCGGCCATCTTGGATCCTCCTAAGTCCTTCTATTTTTTTAACAGATAATTTCTATCTCTTTATCAGTGTCTTCTGTTTAGTAAGACATTGTTCTTCTACTTTCTTTTTTTAGACATGCTTTCTTTTAGTATTTTGAACATTTTTATAATAGCTTATTTAAAGTCTTTTTTTAGTGAGTCTAGTGTCTGGACTTCCTTAGGGATAGTTTCTGTTGAGTGCTGTTTTCCCTGTGTATGGGCCCTACTTCCTTGCTTCTTTGCATGTTTTTATAATTTTATTAAAAACTAGACATTTTAAATGATGGAAACTCTGGAAACAAAATCTTTCTCCCTCTGCAGAATTTGTTGTTATTGCTGTTGTTATTTTTGTTGTTGCTGCTGTTTGTTTAGTGACTTTTCTTGACTGATTCTCTAATTTGTATTCTTTGTTATGTGCAGCTATGAAGTCTCTGGTTGGTTAGCTTAGTGGTTAACTAGTGATCAAATGGAGATTTCCCTAAATCCATTGAACCAGTAAGTCTCCCAGCCTTTGCTGAGGTGCTTTCTGTATATTGGGGTACTGCCTCACCATTCTAGCAGCTTACAGCTCTGCCTTAGCCTTCACTTCCTGCTTGTGCAGAGCCTCGGGGTCAGCCAAAGGGGAGAGGTTAGGACCTTCTCAGGTCTTTCCTGGGCACACACACAGCCCTGTGCATTCATATGGCATTCCAGACTCCCTGGAATATATTGGAGCCGTTCAGAGCCCCCTGTGGACATCCCTTTTCTCAGCTTTTTCTTTCAAGCTTTTTGGTCAGCCTCTTGTTAGCCCCAGCTGACAATGCCACTCCAGGCAGCTGCAGAGTTAAGTAGTTTCCGCTTACTGTTTTGGGCAAATGCCCTGGAGATAGGACAGAGAGAGTGCTCAGTCAGGTTAGATAAAGACAAACCTTGAGAATAGAGCTTTCTGGCAAGCTGCCAGCCAGGTCAAATGGTGACAGTTCTCTGGGGATTTGATTTCTGGGGAGCTCTAAACTTATCTGGCCTCTCTAATGGCTGCCATCTTCATGAGGCTGTTGATTTTTAAGCAATCCTGGAGCTGGAGAAGGAAACTGAATTAGCACCCCTTAAAACAACTCAGACATCACCGGTCTTACTGAGATTCAGCCACTTTTCTTGGGTGAATTCTCCTTAGAATGTTGCAATCCTTTTATTACTTTCCAGATTCTGAAAAAGTTGATTGTGATCATTTTCGGCAGAATTCTTACTGCCATTACGGAGGAGCGGGTCTTTGGAGGTCTTTACTCTGCCATCCCGAAAGCTAACTCTGTCAGTGCTTTATCAGCCGAGGCCCTTTGTGCAGTAAGAGTCAGGTCTCTACTTGCTCTCATTTTCCTTCTTCCTGTCTCTGTCTCTGAGTCTTGAAGTGGCCCTAAGGGAGCGTTAAAGAGTACAGTGTACTGTAACCTACTGGTCACCACTCTTCATTAGGACCGAGTCTCAACTTTTGGATGGGCAGAAAGCATCAGGCACTTGCTCCTGCATTCCCAGAATGCTCTGCAGACCCGGATCATGCTGATCTGCTGGATCAGTGTCTCATCTGCCAACAGAGTCCATCTTTTGCAATCTGGCCAGTTTTGCACATTATCCTATGATGAAGTAAACCCATTGTTCCCCTAAATTAGTGTTGGAAAACAAAGTGCTCATAGTTAAAAGGGCCATTTCCTCTGGATACTGTTGGGATTTGAAAGTCAGGCCAGATATAACATTAATTTTTCTAAATCTGATCTTACAGTCTTGGCTAATGGCTTGAGTTTTCAGTTAAATATATGTATATTTAAAATCTAAATTATCACATGCAATTTAAATTAGAATTTTTTACATGACCAGGAGTTTGGGTTATGGGTAATTTTATGACAGCCTTTGATTTCAGAGGCCATCAATTTTCAGTTCTATAAGGTGGAAATATAAGTGCTCTTTGTCAAAAGTAAAGAGATTCTGTTCTGAAAAGCTCTGTATGATTATATAGCTAATTACCACATAAAAGTTTGTACTTTTTGCATGTTATGTATTTGTGTGTTTTCTTCTCTTATTTGTTAGATTACAATTTAAGTGAGTAGTCTAAAATGTGATATTACATGGTGGTACAACAATTTTGAAATCTTGAAAGATAAAACTGGAAACATTTGCTTGTATTTTTTTTCACCTCAGAGTGTTTTGTTAATGAGACATTTTATCCTGCCATAAACCCAGGCAATAATATAGGTGTTGATTGATTTTTGGATGACAAGGGGCTTCTCTAATTGCAGAATTTGACATTTGTGTCACTTCTGCTGTTTTAGGTGAGCAAGACGTGGAAGGTGATTGCGGAGGATGAGGTGCTGTGGTACAGGCTGTGCCAGCAGGAAGGGCACCTTCCGGGTAGCAGCATCTCCGACTGTTCTTGCTGGAAGCTCATCTTCCAAGAATGCCAAGCCAAGGAACACATGTTACGAACCAACTGGAAGGTGGGCAGTGGCCAGTATCATTACCTGGGAAAGAATAGCCTGCGAGGACATGGGAATTCAAGCTCTCGCCCATAGCCTGAGATTAATTCCCAGCAGTGAAGGGAGAGGGGTCCACTGAGCCGCCCCTTCAGCTGTTGGTGACTTGTTGCCCATTTTGTTCCCCATTAGATGATCGGCCTCCATTTTCAGCCTCAAGATTTGGGAGCATCCTCTTATTCTGCAGGAGAGGAAGGGTGAGATTGGGTTACCAGCCTCTTCCTCTCTGATATTAGGGTGGTCAGAGGAGTGCTCTGTAAAGCTCCTTTCACTGTCACGGACTCTCTGGAGGGACCCGGAAAGCAAAAGCACTCCCTGCATACAAAAGGGGGGCTGAAAATGCCATTTCCAGTAAATGTGAGAGGGAGATGGTGAAACATCCTAAGCACTGTCTTCTCTTCCCTCACGTAACCTACTGGCGTGCTTCCATAACATTTATCACTTCAGAGTCTCTACAGAAATATTAGATCACAGCTAAGAATGTGCACAGTGAAGTGTTTCCATAGGAGGTAACTGTCAAGAGCCTTGTTACATAAAGCTGTTTGAGGCATGACGAGGCAGCAGCGTGGTGGCAGTGTCTCTTTCCCACCTGGGAGGCTGGAGATTCAGTGGTAGAGAAGGGATGGAACCATTCTCTTTCCTCCCATAAAGGTCAATCCTAATAGACTTTGAGATTAACAAGCTTTTGTGCATTACTAATAGTGACATATTGCCTATGTGCCTGTCTGTCCCTAGTCATCTTCTAACCTGATTAGTGACCGATATGCTTGATCTGGGAAGGCTCACACGGTTTCTGGTAAAGTCAATAAGAGCGGTGTCTCTCTAATTCAGGGGTTCCCAACCGCAGCACTAGTGACATTTGGGGCCAGATAATTCTTTTTGTGGGGGGCTGTCCTGTGCATTGCAGGGTGTTGAGCAGTATCTCTGGGCTCTCCCCATTAGATGCCAGTAGCATTCTCCTCCTCCCCCAAGTCATGACAACGAGAAATGTCCCTAGACATTGCTGGATGTCCCCTGGGGGTCAAAACCCCCAAGTCCAGAACCACTGTTCTGAGAGTTAGTGTGGCTATCCTTTGTTAGCCCATTAAGGCACAACCACTAAGATGAGTCATGCTGGCCCACAGTGCCCGTTTCTATTCACCTAAGGCAATAAACTCATCTGGAGGAAGCCCCCGTTCCCTTTTGCCTGTGTGCCTGGGTAGGTCCATGTGATGGACACAGGCAGAAAGATGTGACAAAGAAAGCTGCCCAGACAAACAAGGGGCCAGAAAGCAGAGGGTCTAACCCTGGTGGGAGGTGCTGTAATTGAAGGAAAGCTTGAGAACTGAGTGTTAACAGGGCCTTTCTCTCCAGAAAGGGGGGATGCTTCGGAGATTTACAAGCAGGAGAGTCGGAGATATTTGGTGTTCCCAGGCTTGAATTCAAAGATATCAGACCCTGATAGAGAAGAGCAGCAGCTGTGTGTTTTTTGCTTCCTCTTTGGTGATAAAGCAGGGGAAGGGGACAGGTATGTCCTCACTGGGTCTGGAGGTGACAAAAGTGAAGATGTTTTAAAGACTCACCACCTAGCATCTGGCACTTAGTAACACTTTACAAGTTATGTATAGTCTAACTGAATGTCTGTTTATTATTTATTTCTAATGAACACAAAGTCATCTGTTAGGTAAGTACTCACTACCTGGTTGTTGATGGAGTAGAGCGAACTGCAGGCCAAATTGAACATGAGGGAGACTTCTATTTGGAGCGTCTCAGCTCCATCCTGACACTTTTAACAAGAATTCCAGGAGTGAAATTTTAAATGATGTATCTTTTATTAAATGTAATGGTAGGATTCTTACCGAAATTCTGGAGTGAAAGAAAGCCTTATCAAAACATGAAAGGTGGCCAGGCACGGTGGCTCACTCCTGTAATCCCAGTACTTTGGGAGGCTGAGGTGGGTGGATCACTTGAGGTCAGGAGTTCCAGACCAGCCTGACCAGCATGGAGAAACACCATCTGTACTAAAAATACAAAAATTAGCCAGGCGTGGTGGTGGGCACCTGTAATCCCAGCTACTTGAGAGGCTGAGGTGGGAGAATTGCCTGAACCCTGGAGGTGAAGGTTGCAGTGAGTTGAGATCGTGCCACTGCACTCCAGCCTGGGTGATAGAGTGAGACTCCATCTCAAAAAAAAAAAAAAAAAAAAAAAGAAAGGCAGTATTAGGGCAAGTTGCTTTACTTTTGTCTGCTCCGTTTTCTCATCTCTTGAGTGGGACTAGGAGTGGTACTGCCCATGGCATCCTGGTGAGGATGACTGTCATCACATGTCTGCCACTCCTGCAGAGCCCACGCTCTGCGCTCAGGTGAGGTTGGCTGTAGGAGCGCATAGGCCTCTGCACACAGATGCAGGGTTCTGTGCTATGTGTGCTCGACTTCAGGATGGGTTAGGCAGGCGATTTGGTTTGACACCTCATAAGTCAGTGTCTGGGGAGACTCTAGAAGGGACCTAGGGTTCTTAGGTACCTCCACAAAGGGAATGACCTGTAAATGCGTGAACTTACCTGGAAGTGCAGTTCAGAGCCAACCTGGAAATGACTTGGTAAACTGGTCGTGGTGGCCATAGTGTTCCTTCTCCTGGTGTTTGCATAAATGCAGGTTTTCATCTTAGGCCCTTTCTTTTCCTTTCAATACGTTTTCCCTCACAAGAGCTTTTCTGTTATTGTACCCTTGGCTGTGGCCCTCACACAGCTGGTGCCTAGCTCCTTGCCTTCCCTCCCCATATCTCCACTTGCAGGACGGCTCCATGTGGATGTGTCCAGTTTCGTCTCTCAGACTTAGACTCATTCCTTGGATTAAGTTAAGACCATCATGCAAATTACTTTGCTCAGTTTCTGGAGTCTAGGTGCTTAGTAAATGTGTATTTTAATGGAATGATGTCATCTTTTTCCTATTAGTAGGAATAATAATGGCTACCACTTACTGGACACTGTCTGTATGTTAAGAACTGTGCTGGACACTAGCACTAATTCTAGTTCAAACTTGTCCCAGTTTGGTAAAGTTGAAATTATGGGATTCTTGAATACCTTTATTCATGCTTTGTGGCTTAACTTTTCCCACCCTCCCACATGTAAATATTTTATATCCATTTAGATTCCCTTCATTTTAATTCAATTTAATTTTTTATTTTTTTAGAGATAGGTTCCCACTTTCTTGTTCAAGCTGAAGTACAGTGTTGCAGTCGTAGCTCACTGCAGCCTTAAGCTCTTGGACTCAGGTGATCCTCCTGCCTCAGCCTCTCAGATAGCTGGGAATACAGGTACATACCACTACACTTGACTACCTTTTTAATTTTTTGCAGTGATGGGGTCACCCTATGTTGGTCTCAAACTTCTGGGCTCAAGTGATCTTCCTGCATGAGCCACTGTGCCTGGCTTAGTTTCCTTTAAATACCATTTCTATGAAACCTCTGACCTCTCAATTAGAAATAGTATCATCTCTTTTCCTTTTCTCATCCTGATCTTTACCTATTTGTATACAATTTTGCATTTTATTCTGAGAGTCCTTATAAGAGTTAACAGGTAAGGTATCATGTAATACTTTCTCTCTGCTGCACTGAACTTTTTCATATACTTTATAAGCTTCTTTTTTTTTGAGATGGAGTTTCGCTCTTGTTACCCAGGCTGGAGTACAATGGCGCGATCTCGGCTCACCACAACCTCCGCCTCCTGGGCTCAGGCAATTCTCCTGCCTCAGCCTCCTGAGTAGCTGGGATTACAGGCATGCGCCACCATGCCCAGCTAATTTTTGTATTTTTTTTTTTTTTTAGTAGAGACGGGGTTTCACCATGTTGACTAGGATGGTCTTGATCTCTTGATCTCATGATCCACCTGCCTCGGCCTCCCAAAGTGTTGGGATTACAGGCGTGAGCCACCACGCCCGGCCTATAAGCTTCTTTAGATACTCGCCACTCCAGTAGATACGTGCCCACCTACTGTGGATGGTAGTTATTGGTGAGCACATATTTCCTTTCTATTCTGTAACCTCCTGGAGGACAGGGACAGTGTCTCACACAGCCCATATCCTCGAGTTATTGCCTTTGGGATATGTGGTAGCTCGCACATGCTTAACAGCCTAGCATGTTAGGTATCATCTTTGTCCTTTTGAATGCCCATAGAACTTTGAATGCAGTGCTGTCCGTGCTATAGAGAATTGCTGTGGAACGTAGGTGAAAGCACAATGCTTGGCTTTCGGGCTGTCCCAACAATAGTCTAAACTATATCCCCTTTTCTTCATGCAGAACCGCAAAGGTGCCGTGAGTGAGCTGGAGCACGTTCCTGACGCGGTTTTGTGTGATGTGCATTCTCATGATGGCGTGGTCATTGCTGGGTAAGCAAAACTGTTTCTGCTGAGTGCTCTGCATCTGAAGGTCTTTCAGTTTTCATGTACCACTCTCTAAGCAGCAGTGACCTTAGCTTCCCTTGAGAGCATGTACCTTCCTCAGTTACAGCCCATGTGGAGGAGGGAGAGTCTTCGTGATTTTGTTCCTGAGGACGTGAGAGCGCTGCAGCGAGGGTGAGAAGCACATGGTGCGGAGCAGATCTGTGATCCATTTGTCTCAATATGTCTTTCCCAGCTTTTAAATCACTCTTGCGGCATGTTATATGAGATTTTCATTAAGGCAAACAGTTTGTATTTTATGAAGACATAAAAAAGTCAAGCAAAAATAATAAGTGTTGGCACAGACAGGCCCTGTTCTCATTCGCTTTTTCTGAAGCCCTTATTGTGAGGAAGGGCTGTGACCGCACATAATCTTCCTTCCCCACCGTATAGTTTGTATTTGTTACTTAAGTTGTCCTGAAATAGGTTTTTTTTTATTAGTCTCCATGGCCAAGAAATTTAATTTTAGCTTCTGTAAATTCCTTCAGCCTCTGTCCCCAAAACCACTTTGATGAAGCCTCCCTATTTTGCTACAGAGGTACATTTATATATTTATTTACTGTACAATAAGAAGATCAGTTTTCTTTTTGGGTTAGGAATATGTCGTGAACTACAGCCTCAGGTTGTATACTTCATGCCATAAAGTAGAGACCAGAACACTTAAGTTTCTTAGTCTGGACCAGCTATGGAATGAGACGGTTCAGGGAAGTTCCTGCCTAGGGAAAAGAAAATCAACCTTGGCCTTCTCTCTAAAGAAAAATCTTTCCTTAAGCAGCATTCCTTAAAGAGCACCTTTTGAATAGAAATCCCAAATAGTCAGTTTATTTTAATATTTTGTGGTACACAGTGCCTATGAAAAAAGTATTTCTGCTTTAAACAAGATATACGCAGGAGGAATGCTTTTCCTTGGCTTCTGTTTTCCTGGCTGTGATTTAGAGGTGAAAGCCCTTCTTGGGAGTGCTGCTGAACTAGTTGTACAACATGCAATTCTTCCCATTACGTTATCTGTGCACGTTGGACTTCTCTACCTCATTGCTAAAATGTGGGCCTACGATCACCTGATATGCAGCTCCTTTCTACCCACAAATGTTACAATTTCATGGGAACTCCAAAAGGTACTTAGATCATTCCAGCTTAAAGGGATCTCTGCCTAGAGTGTCAGAAGATACTTAAGGATGGAATGCTGAGACTAGACTGAAGGAGTCGCAAAAGAACTTAAAAATAAAGGAGAACCTTTCATCTCAAGGCCAATTACAAATTTCTTCTCTGGAGCTCCCGAAGGGCAGGCCCCCTACGAGTCCAGATGCCAGTCCTTCTTTCCCCGCCTCTCTGTTCCCTCGGGGTCTGTTCAGCATTACAGATCGTGCCAGCACAGAGCAAACGATGGCCGAGTTCTGCGGATCAATAGGATGAAACTTGATCTGTGGGTCAGAGAGGCTCCTTGCGGCTCCTCTTTCTAAGAAAACCTTACACTGATGGCTTAGCATGAGAGACTTCAGTCTTGCTTGTATATAGAGCATCTTGTGTTTATCATTAAAATTTTATCTGGTGGTTACGATGCTTGTTTTCTGGGTCAGATCTTGAATCCCTTTTCATTTGAGACAGCGGTGTTTGTGGTTACCTCATTCCCAATCAATGTTGAATTCACCAGGCTTTCTACAGTTATGTATCTCCAAGGAGCTTCTTAAAGAGACAGTGGCCATCTCACCACTTCTTTCTCTTGTACTTACCTTGTGTTTCTCTTAGTTTCTTTTTTTTCTTCCTTTTTCTCTTTCTTTTGTACAAGTGGAGTCTGTTCAGAGACTTAGTCTTAGATATCTAGAGCTAAACTATGAAGGATTTTTGCATTTACACCTAGTAGGTACGTTTCACATCGTTGATGGAGAGCAAAGACTGCTGCAGTCTCTTCTCACCTTTTCGGCTTTCTGTGTCAGTCTTCCTAGTTTGGAGTCATGTTGCATAGACCCAGATTGATATTTATTGCAATGAACCTCATGATGGACCCAGTCTTGGTTCTTCCACACTCTTCTCTTCACTTAAACCAGCCAAATCTGAAAATAGTTACTCGTTCATAAACGCATTTGACACTCAAATACCCATCATGTGAACAGGACCTGGCCCCTGCCTACCTGAGGCTTGTTTTTCCAGTGGGGAAACAGTCGTTTTTCCCAAAGCATTTGATTGTTTACCCTTTTGTCCATGAGTCTTTGTTTACCCTGCAGTCTTACAAATAATTTCCAGTTAACTTTTCCTCACATTCGGAGTTCTTTGACATTTCTTTCCAAGCTCCGTTCTTCCTTATTACTCTTGTCAAGTGTACCTTTGTTTTCCACACTGTTTTGTTTAGTTACCTCTGACCGCATCATTTTTTAGTTGAGATAAGTCATATGCTGCATAACAGCGTTTAAGTCAGTGATGGGCCCCATCTATGATACTGGCCATTCGTGTACCCTGGGTGTATGGTAGGCTCTGTCATCTGGTTTTTGTTAGAACACTCTATGATGTTTGCACGATGATAAACTTGCCAAAGGATGCGTTTTTCAGAATGTATCCCTGTCGTTAGGTGACACATGACTGTATAATTCACATGCCATAAAATTCACCCTTTCAAATTGTATAATTCAGTGATTTTTTTTCAGTAAATTTCCAAGGTTGTGCAACCAGCAGCACTGTCTGATTCCAGAACATTTTCATCAACTCAAAAAGAAACCCAGAACCCATTCTTTAAGGCCTACTCCAGTCCTGTCTCCTCCCAGAGGTTCTCTAGCACTGTAGCCCAGCATCCACTCTTCTCAGAACTCCTGGAGAAGGGACGGTCTGCCACTGACAGGGCAGCTCAGCATGTGGCCTCACCAGTTCCCTGAAACATTTTTGTCTTATATTATTATTTTACTTGGAAATAATATTTAACTTTACAGCCATGTACTGGATTTTCTTTCCAGCAATTTGTAAGCATGTTTTTAAATTTAAATTTAAATTTTTATTTTTTTGAGACACAGTCTCACTCTGTTGCCCGGGCTGGAATGCAGTGGTGCGATCTCAGCTCACTGCAACCTCTGCCTCCCGGATTCAAGTGATTCTCCTGTCTCAGCCTCCTGAGTAGCTGGGACTACAGGCCACCATGCCCAGCTAATTTTTGTATTTTTAGTAGAGACAGGATTGTTGGCCAAGCTGGTCGCAAACCCCTGGCTTCAAGCAGTCTGCCCACCCTGGCCTCCCAATGTACTGGGATTACAGGTAAGCACTTTTTAAAACTCTTGAGTAGTAAGATTTCATTAAATGCATACTGTTTTATATAGAGTAAGCAATAAAACTGAATACACAGACTTCCCTTGCCCCCCACCACTTGTATACTGTGTTATGTGGGAAACTAGAGAAATACACATGTCTATTACTTTTCTCAACCTGCAATGATACACTTTTAAACCTGGAAGGAACTTTAGAGATGATCCTTTCCCAGACCCTCATCTTGCTTGAAGTGGTGGGGGAGGCTCAGGGCCAGGCTGGGTGTGTGTGAGCCGCTCTGCTGTGTGTCTGCAGCATCCACAGGCGGGGCTGGGTGGTGAGGCTGCTGTCTCCAGGCCCCATTTGCTGCTCTGAAGCCTTGGCTGTTACAGCGTCTTTTTGGTTTTTCTTTCATGGCATGTATCTATTTAAAAAGAAAAGCAGTGGTAAAATCATGTTGTTTTGCGGCCATGTTAGAAAGTAGAGCAGAGAAAGCCACTCAAATTCAAGGCTGGAACACAGCCTTTATTAAGGTCTCCCACGTGTCCGGTTTGGTTTTCAGTCTGTTTTTCTATGCATGTTTTTTCATAGTGCAATTATAGCCTTTGTTACATTTGTGGCTTTTTTCCCTCACCAAACCGATGAATTTTTTTCATGTTGTATATTTTTCATTACTTTCTTTGACTTGTTGCAAAAACACTTTGAATAATTATATCCCAATTTTCCTATGTATTCGCCTAATAGTGGACATTAAGGTCAGTTATACTGACCTTATATACTGTTTTGTTATATGTATGTTATGAATATTTTATGTCTGCAAATTTTTCTCCTTTTTAGCACTACAAATCTTTATTTTAAAAGGATTAGACACATGCTACTGTAGAAACTTGAAATTCTATGTAAGTGTATAAAATAAAGAGTTAAAGTTCTTTCATCATTCTCTCCTAGTCTTGCATTCCTGATAATTTTCCTAGGCTAGAGTCCTGTAAGCAGAATTACTGGATTTGGGGGAATGAATTTTTCTTATTTTCCAGATTAATAAATTATTTAAGCATGCTTTTGTAGCCCTCAGCTTCTTTACAGTCTAACTTTTGACTTGAAGTCTCCAAACCATCCCTACCATCTTCCTGTCAGTGCTGTACATAATGAGAGCCCATACCTCCTGCCTCCCTTCCTTCCTCCCTGTCTAACCTCCCTCCAGCTGGCTCCATCCCAGCCCTTCCACCGCGCTGCATTTTCAGAGGTCAGCTCTGATCTTTTGGTCAACAAACCAATGGCCTTTTCTTGGCCGATCCTCTCCAGCCTCTTGACAGCATTCAGTCCTGTTGGCTTTCCTCTTAAATGGTGGGGCCATGTATTAAGCATCTTGGTGCCCTCAGAATCTAACATCATTCCCAGGACCCAGGAAGCTTTGAGGCAAGTGTGTAAGGGAGGAAAACTCCCCTTTGGCGACCCCACACTCTCTGGGCTTCCATTATCTCTGTGAGCGCCTTCACTGACCCTCGCTCTTGACTTTCTCTGCTGTCACTTGACCACTTAACAGGGATATACAGCAGCCCAGAAAAGACCTGCAGCCGTTGTTTTTCTTTGTTGGCTCAGCTGAGCCATTCAGATGTAACTTTTACTTTCCTTTTTCAGTGAAAAGTTCTCATTTCTTTAATTTGAGAAAAATTTGTGTTCAAAAGTCATCAATCTCTACAGAATCAGTCACCTGTCTTTCTCTC